TGTGGCACTAATATATATTATAATTATATTATATAAATAAATAAAAATGCCACATAGATTAATAAACATATTTTTATTAAAAACATATAAAATTACTTTATTACCCTCGTCCTCACCCTCACCCTCCCAATCCCTCTTCTTCCCCTTCATTCTTTCTCTTTCTTTCTTTCGGGTTCGGTGGAAACCCAGCCTTGCTGGGTTCGTCGACCAGCCAAGGCTGGGTTCATCGGAACCCAACAGATCTGGGTTTCGAAAGCTGGGTTCGGTTGAAACCCAGCAAGGCTGGGTTCGGTTGAAACCCAGCAAGGCTAGGTTCGATGGAAACCCAGCCTTGCTGGGTTCGCGACCAGCCAAGGCTGGGTTCGCCGGGCTGGGTTCGTCCGAACCCAGCAGATCTGGGTTTCGACAAACCCAGCAAGGCTGGGTTCCGTCGACCTAGCTTTGCTGGGTTCGGTTGAAACCCAGCAAGGCTGGGTTTCGACGAACCCAGCAAGGCTGGGTTTCAACCGAACCCAGCTTTCGAAATTTGATTTCTTGTTTTTTCGTTCTTCTTTCGATTTTCATTTTCAGTTGTTAATAAATTTGGAGATTGATTTATAATTTGATTGTATTTTTGTTGAAATTTGATTAAAGTTTGATTGTATTTTTGTTGAAATTCGATTAGAGTTTGATTGGTATTGTTTGTTGAAGGGTTATTTTGATTTGGTAAGATCTGTCAGGTTTGAGGTTTCAATGAAACCCAGTAGCTCAAGTTTTCCCGAGAAAAGAGAAGAAATGGGTGGTTTAACATTGGTTTTGTAGATGGAGTGGAGATGAGAGAGCATTCATAGAAGAAGAAGAAATGGGTTAAGATCGATTTTGCAGATGGAGTGGAGATGAGAAAGCATTCAGAGAATAAAAAGAAATGGGTTAAGATCAATTTTGCAGAGGGTGAAGATGAGAGACCAGTTTGCAGGCAACTGAGCTCCATTGGAGGCGTTTGGCGTGAAGAAGATTGGTGTGAAGAAGATTGGTGTGAAGAAGATGACATGTCATCAAAAAAAAAAGTCCAAATAAGCGTCTTTTTAAGTTGTGCTTGCCATGTCATCAAAAAAAATATAAAAAATGCCATGTGGCCAAGTTAACGGCCCAAATTGACAGAAGGATTAACACGGAGTGCATTTTGTATAGTTGAAGGATCAAAAAAGTGCAAAAAATTGTTGAGGGACCAAAAATGTGCAACTCACTAAAGTTGAGGGACCAAATTTAGCATTTAACCAAAAAAATTCCACATTAACACGTTTTCAATTTGTTTTTGTCACGTCATCAAAAAAATATAAAAAATACCACATGAGCGAGTTAACGATCGAAATTAACAGAAGGACTAACAGAATGCATTTCGTATAGTTGAGGGATCAAAAAAGTGCAAAAAATTGTTAAGGGACCAAAAATGGGTAACTCACTAAAGTTGAGGGACCAAATTTAGCATTTAACCTATTTATTTCTGTGGTCAATGCCTTCAAATATTTATCCTTGGGTTAACTCCCTGCAATTTTTAAAGCAAGTAAAAAACCCAAAATTTAACTGAGAAGTCACGTGACTCGCATGTCCTCGTTCCCTTCCGTTTCATTTTTGTACATGGTGTTTTTGATGAGGTGGCAACCGTTTTTTCTCATGTGGCACTTTTTTGGGCTGGCTAGTGGGTTCCACCCAGAGCTAAACAACTTTTTTATTTCATAATTACCTTTCATTTCACTTTAAATTTACAAGATTTACCCTTGTCTTCTTCTTTCTTATCTCTCTTCACTGCGCAAAATCCACAGTCTAAAGTTTTAATTTCAAATAGCACTGAACAATTTCAGCCTAAATTTGAAATTTACAAACTCAAATCACAGTCAATTGATGATAATTACAGATACCCATGAATAAACATAATCCCTGAGCCAGAGATCTCATCCCGACACTGTGGCTGCAACCCAAAATTCACCGTCTTCAATTCTTCTTATCATTAAAATAAAAAGCAAGCGTTTTTTCATGTGACTCCTTCCATTGAATTGATTGAATGTCTAGATGATCAAACAAATTAAAAAAGCGATTGGGTCTCAGTCCTCAAATTCGAAGGAGTCAAAAAGCAAAACAAGAAAAAGGAAGGAATGCCACAAAATGTAGTATTTTATTTTGCTAGAAAAATTCAAGTATAGATCTCTCAGATCTAATGTTGAGTCTTGATACCAATACTATGATCTGAGTTCCCGGAATTCAAGTATAGATCTTTTGGATCTGCTGGGCTTAGATGAGTTTTACTGTTGGAAATACTGGATTTTTCTCAAAAAGATTGTCTCGAATTTCCTTATAGGCTGCTATGTTTTCTCGATGTGTCAACCTGCCAGAATTGCCAAGTTAGGTAGGAGTCCCAAATCTCTGTCGTCCCAGATGGGTCTCAAGAAATTCGCTTACTGCTTGGTTTCTTGCCAATTCAACGACACACCAATCGGCAGCACCCTGGCGTTTGGAAACTGGGTCCAGCTCCAATGATGAGGATGAGCAAAGACGTGGAGAGGGAGGAGAGAATGGAGGAGGTACGGGAGAGTGACTGGGTTAGGAAGGACGATGAGAGTGTAATAGTTGCGGACTCTACTCACAAAAGACATTTTTAATGTCCATATCCAAGTTAGCGAAAATTGCTTTAATTAATTATCTGCCACATCGCAAAAAATGAGCTGGCAGTAAAATGATGACCACGTCATTTAAAGAGTGCCACATAAGCGATGAACCAACGGAAGACAACGAGCACGTGCGAGTCATGTGACATCTTAGTTAAATTTTGGGGTTTTCACTCATTTTTGAAAACTGTAGGGTATTGTCTGGGAAAAAAATATTTAAGGGTATTGACCATAAAAATAAATAATATAAAGGGTGTAAATAAGATATTTGGTCAATTTTTTTACAAATTAAATGAAGAATGACTTTTTTTTTTTAACGGAGAATGAAATATTATTTTAAAATGATTTCAGAAACCTATGATTCATTTGAAATATTTATGTTAGGTAACTTATAATACATTTAGGGGCAAAGTAACGAAGAACAAGAAAACAGCTATATGTAACCATTAAGATTTAACCAACAGTACATTTGAGTTTGAAGATAACTTACAATACATTTAGGGGCAAAATAACGAAGAACAAGAGTGCTTAACTTCTGCATCTGTTTCAATTCTTGTTAATGGGAGCCCCACGCAGGAATTCAAAATGCAAAAAGGGCTTAGGCAAGGTGACCCCCTTTCTCCTTACCTTTTTTTAATAGCTGCTGAAGGTCTGCATGCTCTTGTTCATGAAGCTGAAAAGAAAAATCTCCTTACTGGTATAGCTGTTGTTAGAGATTTATCTGTTTCCCACCTCCAATTTGCTGATGACACTATTCTTCTTGGGGAAGCTTCTCTTAAGTCAATTAGAGCATTCAAGTTTATCCTTAGATGGTTTGAAATTATCTCAGGGCTTAAAATAAACTTCAGCAAAAGTACCTTGTATGGTATTAATATTGAGGAGAATTGGCTTAATATGGCTGCCTCTACCCTTAATTCAAAGTGTGGACACTTGCCTTTCCTTTACTTGGGACTCCCTGTTGGTGGCAACCCTCATCATCTCAAATTCTGGAAACCAGTGGTCGAGAAGTTCCAGTCTAAGTTGGCAACCTGGAAGGGAAAGCTCTTATCATTTGGAGGACGCATCACACTCCTCACGTCGGTACTTTCGGCTCTCCCTCTTTTTTACTTTTCTATTTTTAAGGTCCCGAAAGGTGTTGTTAGTGAGTTAGAGAAAATACAAAAAAACTTTTTGTGGGGGAGTTCAAATGACTATAATAAGATTGCTTGGGTTAATTGGGGGAGAGTTTGCCTTGCAAAATCAAAGGGAGGGCTTGGCATCCCAAACCTTTCTATTAGGAATTCTGCTTTACTAGGAAAATGGTGGAATAATTTTTATGATGCTGAAGGAAATGAGAAATTATGGAAAAAAATTATTGTTAGAAAATATTATGATGGAGTTTCTTCTACTTCTATTTCTAACACTGCCTCTTCGAGCCTCTCTCCCTTTTGGAAGGATATATTATCTATTGGCAGAGATTGTGATAGAGCTTTTGGGTGTTTTGATGATGGTTTTATCCGTAAGCTTGGTGATGGCTCAAACACTAGATTTTGGAAGGATGCTTGGATGGGCAGCTCTCCGTTGATGTTTTCTTTCCCTCGCCTTTTTTGCCTTACATTAAGCAAGGATACTCTGGTCGCCGAATTGAAGCTGGGTAATGCAGATGGGTGGGCTTTTCAGTGGCGCAGACCTCCCTTCGGTAGAGAATTGGATGAGCTTGAGAGGCTTGAAGATTCTCTCCGAAATCTTAATTTATCAGACAGAAGGCTTGACAAGTTCATTTGGAAGCACTGCTCAACAGGTTATTCCTCCAAGCAAGCTTACAAATTTCTTGATGATTTCCCTTCGTGCCTTGATAAGAAATGTTGCAAGGTGATTTGGAATCAGTTTATGCCATCAAAAATTAGTGTTTTTGCATGGCGCCTCTTCTTGAATAGACTACCCACTAAAGACAACCTCCTCAATCGTGGTATTGACCTTTCTTCCAACCCAAAATGTGTTTTTTGTGGTGATAGTGTGGAAGATATTAACCACATCTTTGCAGTGTGTCGATTTTCCCAAAACATCTGGACTCGATTATGCTGCTGGTGGGGAACTCCTCTTTCTCCCATTGGTAACGCCTCCCTCCTCCTTTTGCAACTTTGTTCACTTAAGCCTGGCATAAAATCTCAAAGTTGTTGGGTGCTTTCTGTTGTTACAACAGCATGGGCCATTTAGTATTTTCGTAATGGTATCGTGTTTAACAACCTTACTTGGAATGAAAATACTATCTTTGAGTTAGTGTTAACAAAGACCTTTGGTTGGATAAAAGGGAAATCTAAATCTGCTA